ACCTGAGAGCAGCCCACCTTGTAATAGTTGTCATCTGCACCCAGTGCCTTGGAGAGGCCAAAGTCACTGATCTTGGCATATTGTTGGTTGACTAATAGTACATTACGGGCTGCCAGGTCTCTGTGCACAAAGTTCCTTCCTTCTAAATACTTCATCCCCATTGAGACTTGATGCATCATCATCACAATGTTTTCAACAGTGACCTGGTCCCTGAGAGGTGCAAAAACAGTTAGTGTAAATTGATGATCAACGTATGAATTTTCTGATTTAGTCAGAACAATGTTTTAAATGATGACTCTGTTTATACAGATTTCACACTTTAACACAGAAATCACAACTAATGTGTCACTAAAATATATTTTATACAGTTCTAATATAGACTATATGTAGAAAAGAAAGTCCTATATTCTTCTACTACATATTAATAACACAAACAAAAGAAGTTATAAATATTGTTATTCTGATTTACTCACTTCTTGCCAGAGAGAAACTTGTTGAGTGGGCCAGCGGGGGCCATTTCCATCACCAACATGAGCGCTTCAGCCTCACAGAGTCCAATCATGCGCACAATGAACGGATCACTCAGCTGATGCATAAAATGTGCCTCTCGCATCATTTCATCCTTTACTGATTTTTCATTCTCATTCTTCAACACTTTAATCGCCACATCAATCTGTTTGCTACACATGAGAAGGAAACATGTGCTTATGAAGTAAACTTAACATGTTACAACACAAATTCTTCCACTCTTTGTAGTCACCTTTCCATTTTGAATACACCTTTCTTGACACAGCCGAAGTTGCCTGAACCAAGCTCCACCTCATCGATCATGAGCTTGTCTCTCTTGATGAACAGGGTCTTCTTCTTGCATTCATTTGGATCATCGTAAGGACTGATGAATGCATCATGGTCCATAGGCAATGATGGACGTGGAGGCTCGGGTACTGGGCAACATCACAGCAGATGTTACATACATGACATTATTAGTGTGCTATTAACTTTTAAAAGTGCTAATTAGTTTTTTAGGAAAATATTTAAAATGTTATTTTTTATTGCTAACAAGTGAACATAAATATCCTTGTGGTAGCTGTAGTGCTTATGCAGCAACACATTAGCAACATATATTTTTTAAGCACACAGTGGTTAAAAATTCACATTTGAGCTATGGTTGTGGAAAATTCTCTTAACGTAATGTTAACCACAGACCTATATTTTATTGATAAATTTGAAAACCAGCATTCTGAAAACCCATATAAATTCCAGCAGAAACACGTGGTTAATGCAAATCCTCTTCTTCAAGGCCACAAACTGCACAGCTCTACAGTAAATCCAAGCAATTTATTTTTGTTGTTCTTTGTGCAAAAATATGTGGTCTGATTCCAGAGTTTAGCAGTAATAGCCAAAACGTTATGCATTTATCACTAAGACAGCACAGAGACTCTGAGACTTGGACTAGTTTTGTTTTAAACTTATTTCAAGTAGACATACATTATCATACATTAAGTAGACATACATTATCACTGCTGTTAGATGGTTTCAACTTTCAAATGTTGTACCGATACAAACTTACCCATAGGGAGCGGTGTGTATCCATTACCTCTCTGCCTCCTCTGAAACACACAAACAGAAAAACCCCTAACGATTAAACAAATGCACAATATTATTAAATGTCTTCAAAAAATAGATGTTCTTTCAGACAGACTTACCGGAAGATTCATAAGAGCTAAAAGTGAAGAAAAGAGAAGAAAAATATGATCTTAGCCATTTTTACTCACAAATAGCTAGTTATTTCAATGACATTTTACCATGTCAAGCCCAAGATTGAATGTTCAGAAATTTGTAGTGTTTATACAGAAATTTGTAGTTTTGGGTAAGAGATATTTTTTACATTCAATGTTTTTAACATTAAAGTTTTTACCTGATGCTGCATTGCTTTGGTTGACACACGGTTCTCTCAGTACAGTCACAAGACCATCAGGCTTCATCTTTAAATACTCCACCAGCTGCCCTCCATAGGAATATAATTATTACAAAAAACATCAATGACAACTACAATAATAAAAATCCCACAACGACTTTGTAAAAGTCTTTATATATCTAGATACATTTTGACATGGTCGTAAATTATTATTGTATTATCTATTGAATGTTTTTGCTTGCTTTGCAGATCAGTATGGCAAGCCATTTGGACTTTTATTCATTCGCAGGATATGAATTCTTGATATCAACTATTCAGCTTTCACTAGTAAAAATGCTAATTCTTGATATCAAGAATATTAATTTTTACTAGTTGAAATTTAATTCTTGATATCAAGAATATAAATTTTTACTAGTTGAAATTTAATTCCTGATATCAAGAATTCGAATTCTGCGAGTGATGACGTCCTTGTTGATATAAAAAATTAAAATTTTTACTAGTGGAAATCCAATTCCTGATATCAAGAATTGGCATTTTAACTATAGTGAAAATGTAATTGTTGATATCAAGAATTTATATCCTGTGAATGAATAAAAGTCAAAACGGCTTGCCATAGATCAGATCTTAAGCTGTTACACTAAAAAAAAAAAGTTTCAATATTTTAAAACAATTTAATATGCACGTTTTTATTGTGCAATACTTTAAATTATTATTTAATTTAATAATTATGTTGTGCCAAACACCACAGACAGCATGTAGAAATAAAAAATAATTATAATCTAAACCATCTATGTTATCGGCATACTCTTTTTTTTGGCATACTCTTTTTTTGTCATACTCCTTTTGGAACTAAGTATAATGAATTAAAATACATAAATGTTAAATCTGATTTTGTAAAAGCAGTTACATTCTAGCGGCGTTGTGTGAAGGGTATTTTTACCCCTCAGTCTTTTTTTACTCCTTAATAAAGTGGAATATGAGATGACAGACTCTTTGATGGGTGAAGCATACCTGCCACACAGTGTCAAATTTAGTTCCCTCTGGCATTGCGTATCTCCCTGATTTGTCGTGTAAGATCTGATAATGGTATACTGTTTTTCCGTATGTCACTGACAGTGCGAACGTGCCAAATTCTTCTCTCTCTCGGACTCTGGAAAACAAAACAAATTACAAGATCACAGGTCAGCGATTTGTTTACTGGCGATGTGCCTTCTGAGTTATAGGAGTAACATGTATATGTTAACTCAACCAATCCTGCTGTGTGTCTTTCTGAATTTCCTGTTTTCACGATGCAGAGAAAGCTTTTTGAGGGAATGAAGATGATTGAAGCATCTATAGCCAACATAATTTTTGTAATCATCCGCTTTGCCTTGATTTTACTCATTACATCACCCCAATACCCAACTCTATCCCTGCTACAAACAATATTGTTCATCAGATTTGCCTCTAAAAGCAGCCCGTGTGTCATCATGACATTTCCACCCTAACGCTGCAGGAAAACTTTAGACTGACTCAGGCTCTTCACTCACAGGAACTTTCCATCAGGCTGAGATCCTGAGTACAGTCGTCTCTCACCCTCCTGGCGAGAGATCTTGCCGTGGAACCAGGGCATTTTCTCATGCGCTGTGGTGGCAATCAGTTTCTCTAGCTGTGGGGCCTGGCTAATGATGGCTTGTTCCATGGCCTCCCCCTAAAAAAGATAACATAATATTTCATTTTTGTGATCTCTTATTAAAAATGGTCAAAAATGTCCTCACTGTTGGAGTCTGACAATAAAAATGCATATTTTGTAAAGAAACAATAAAGTGCATAAAATATGGTGTAAAACGCAGCCTAGGCCATAATGGTGTGATTAGCAGAAAAAATGCATACGCAAGACTATCTTTTCTAATGTCTCAATGCAAACATAACTTTAAGGGATCCATTATACCGTTAACTAAAAAAATGAAAAGCTTGAATTCTAAAGAATAATTAACTTACATAATAATTGTTGAAAAATTGTGCATATGTAAATGTAAGAATGTCTGCTAGTACACTTTTCATTTTAAAGTTAGAAGAACTCAAATTTCCACTTAATATATGATTAACTGGACAGCCCACCTGAAAAAAAAGTTAAATTCTGTCATCATGTACTCACCCTTGCGTTGTTCAAAATCTGTATGACTTACTTTCCTCTGTGGAACATTTAATAAGATTTTTAGAATTCTTTGTTAAAAAAAACGTTTTCAGAAGTCAAATGTTAACCAAAACTATTTCACATCTTTTCTGCTCTGCAGAAGAAAGAAAGACTAAAATGTTTGAAACGACATGAGTATATGATGGCAGAATTCTAATTTTTGGTTGAACTATCCCTTTAATGCAAGTATATCGTTTATGTAGATCAGAAAATTTTTCAGGTTTACATCACTATAAAATGATTTTGTGCTGTGTTGAACTATTTTCTCACATCCCCAATTATGTATTTTGCTTAAAGAATACAAAACGGCAGATACTAGGTTGGAAAAAAGTGATATGGAACCATAAATCCATAGCCACACAGTTACCGAATATTAATCAAAACCTTGCTTGTTAACCAATCAGAATCAAACCTGTTTTGAAGCTCTTACCTCCAGGTGCCAAGTCTGACGCACATATTCCCTGAGCATATTGTCCCTCAGGCTGTCGAAGACGCCCGTCTTGATTTGTGTGTCAGTCGATCGCAGGCAGGGTTTTCTCAAGGTGCACACGAGCCCGTCGGGGTCTTTGCTGTAGTACTCACAGAGCTCAGCAGGTCCACAGTGAGGCTTCCCACCTGCGATGCAGTATGTGCCGTTGAGCTGTTTTTCAATGGAGTAATGGTAGAACTCCAGGTTCCAAACCAGGGACAGGACGTAGCCGCCCAAGCTGCGGAGGCACTGGCGCAGGAGGAAGAGGCCGTCTCCCATGCCTGCCAGCTTCAGGTGCTCCTCGGCCTCTGAGCGACTGATGCTGCCATAGAAGAACGGGAGGTCCGCGGCAGGGTCGGACATGATGGAGGCGACGAGGGGTCGAAGACTAGATCAGAAGCTGCAGAAAATGATGTTTGAGAGAAAGAGAGCGAGAGAGATTGAAGTGACTGATAACTTCAGCAAAATGGGGCAAACTGTTGTGAGCATGTGTTTTTGCTGATGTGGGAGGATGTTTCCCGTCTGAAAGCATCTCTCCCTCTTTTTCTCAGTTTCCCTCTTTATATCTCAAACATGGACATTTTTGGCTTTTGACGGCCCTGTGTGATCAAAATAATTGGTATGTAGAGGTATATAGAGTTAAGAGGACATATAAAGGTTGGTGTGGTTGGCGCTTTAGTGCTTTGCAACCGGCAAAGTCTCGTATTCGGATCGAATCACCACAACAGGAAACTCAGACATATCCTTCCCCGCCCCCGCCAGCTCTTATATGACAACCCTCCACCCTGCACAGGTGCTGATGCTTCAAGAATGTTCCTAAGCTTGTCAACAGGTTCATGCTTTGCTGAAAGTCCTCTCTGGGACTGAAAGAAAATTAAGCAGATGATTAAAATGCTGTATACTTGTAGATATCAAAAAGGCACAAAGATGTGGACCATGAAACATGCGTCTATAACGGACTTCCTCATGATGAACATTTTCCAGTGACTGAATTCTAGTGATGTGTAAGAAAGTAGGAGGTCAGTGATGAAACATATAAGCAGCATGTTTTCACCAGAAAGTGAAAACTGCACGAAAACAAACAAACAAACAAAATCCCTACTGCTTTTCTCAACGCCTCACACTTTAGATTCCATCGTTTTATGCAAATGATCTGACAGTGTCTTCTAGACACAATGGCACATGGCACATGGAGTGACAACAAGTGGAAGACCCTAGACAAGCAGCTTTGATTTAAACCACAGCTTCCTGGACACAGAGCTGCCCACACTTACAGGGATGACAACGGTTGAAGACACAGAGAAAGACCCACAGCCACATATGTACACACATACACCCAAACCTTGTCTTAAACCACCACAGGCCATAGCAAAGACACTAGGGGACAGTGCACTGTCTGAGGGGAAACATGAGACTCATGAGCCAATTTGATCCTTTCCATTTTACAATTGGAACTTAATGTAGGTGTGATGATGCCATTTGTTATTACCATTATTTATGTAACCCTTGGATATAGCACAACATAAAGGATTTATAAAATCTGCTAAAAAATAACTAATTTAATAAATTATGAGTTATTAGTTAACTGATGCTGATTGTATTTAACATTATTGTAGCTTTATAAATTACATTTGAACACACACATAAATGTATATATAGCAATTTAGCATAGCAATTTACATAATTTAAAAATACATATTTTAAATAACTAATATACAGTATATATATATATATATAGTCACGGTGTGGAAACAGGCAGGGATGACAAAGACGACAAGAATTCCAATAAGCACTTCAATATCCACAACAGGTAACATCCAGGCAGGTCAAGGTCAAGGTCAAGGTCAAGGTCAATAACACACACACACACACACACACACACACACACACACACACACACACACACGGGGTAATATTCACAATAACTGACAAACTAGAATACAAGAGACAGGAATTGATATAGGGCAGATAACGAGGGGCAGACAGGTGAGCACAATAAGGTGATTAACTAATAATGATAACAGGAACAACCAAATAGGGACACAGAGGGAGAACCCACAATCAACAGTCCACAGGGGTGTGACAGATCGGTGACCTCCCGGAAGGCCGTGGAGACAGAGGGAGGGACGGAGGGGGACTTAGGAGGAGGACAAAGGAATGGATGTAGGATGGTGACAGGGGAAGGCAAAGGGCTGGCAGGCAGACATGACAGGTGGAGGCTTCGGCGGAGGACAGACTCCCAGGAGGAGGACGACTAACAGAGTCCAGGGAGGTGACGATGGAGGGAGGAGCCAGGGAGATGACAGGAGGGAACCGGAGCAGGAGGAGGAGCCAGGTGGAACCCAGGCCACAGCCATGATAGCGGCCCACGGTGGAGCCGACGGAGGGAGGAGCCATGGTGGAGGAAGGGCTGACAACTCCAATGG